TTTAATGATACGTCAGTCGAAAGTCTTTCTACTTCCGCCCCCATCTAGATAGCAATTATAGAAATAAAACTTGTTGGACATGATCTATCTGAAACAAATTGTAAAGTTAAATGATGAGTTTGGAACAAAAATAAATTTGATAACCAGAATGAAAGCGGGGTGTAAGTTGAGTGAGCAATAGTGTTTCTTTAACTCACCGGTTTTGTATAGCCGTTGGGCTGTGAAGCCAACTCCAAATTTCTGCCCAATTTTGTAAACTCCGCCAACTATTATCACTATGCATAACCTTCTTCTGCGTCTTCACTGCAACCGTTCCCCCTCCCTCAATCTCAATAGATCCATAGCGTCTTCCTTTTGACCCTTTTAATCGATTATGGCTTCTTCATCTCTTGTGCTTCCGTCTATTTCCCTCAGAAGGAGCTCAATCTCAACTTGTAATTTGGGTTTCAGGAATGAAATTTCAAGAATTTCCCTCAAGAATTTGGATAGATGAGGTAGGGTTTTCATGAGCGTCGCTGTTGGATCTCAAACCACTGTCGTCGACGATGCGCTCTTCAAAGATTATAAAATTTCTCGTGCATTCCTCTTTCCTGGCCAGGTCATTTTTTCGTCATCTTTTTTTCTAATTTATGCCATTTTTTGCGTAATTTTTGTGTATATTTTAAAGGAATACAGTTCAATGTTGCACACTGAATTGCCAAGTTTGGGGTGGGGTGGGTTCGGGGGGAGAGAGAGAGATCGGACAAGATTCATTCATCTGTCTTATATTTGCTTTGCTGTATGTAGTAGTGTATACTAGTTTTAAAATGTCGTTACTCTTCTACTGTGAGCTATCCTACATTAGTTGTAGTTTTAGTAAATATGTAAACGAACTTTGCTTAATTGAAGGGATTGTTGGTGATATATTACTAAAGTGTTAAAGTAATAAACAGCGTGATTCATAATTGTCTGTTTATTTACTAAAGGACTGAAGTTGGAATTCCACAAGTAAAAGGTGAAAGACTGTATAATATCTTGGTAATTTTTGAAGTTCGAATCATTCATTGGTCACAGGGCACTTACTCTGGTACCGACTAGATAAACCGAAACCCTGATGTGCTGAATTGGCGTTGGTACTTTGTGGGGGATGCAATATCCCAAAAAAAATGTCTGCAAGGAAGATTTTGCATGAAAACCTTCAGTATGTTTGAATTTAACCCGTGTACAAGAGCCATAACAAAGCTGGGTTTGACTTTAGAGATCGGCTGTCAAACTCACACCACAGAATTTAATATCATCTGCCTTCATGTTGCAGGGTGCACAAGCTGTTGGAATGGGTGTGGAGGCTCAAAAAGTGACTGCTGCAGCTGAATTATACAAGAGAGCAAACGATATTTTGGGGTAGATTTAATTATGAAACTTGATTTTGATGGGCTTGCGTTATGTTCTGTCATGTTCTCATTTACCCTTCTCTTGATATAAGTTTCCCAATGCATAATTAATGTTAATTTGCATCAAGGTTTGACCTTTTGGATGTTTGCATCAATGGACCAAAAGAAGAGCTTGATTCCACGGTTTTAAGTCAGGTATGCCATCATGGTTGCAATATTGATATTTTCCTTGTCTATGTAGACTCTATTCTCATCTATCCTGAAGGAAAATCAGACGAACTCTAGTAGTATATTATAATAATCAAATTATAGATTTTTATTCGTGAAGAAACACAAGGAATAGAAATAGAAATAAAGTTATGGTTTCAGTGAAGAAAATAAGAAACTTCGCTAGTCTCATGTGTAATGGAATCAAAGACTGGCGGCATACTGAATTTCATGCTTAGAAGCTAGAAGCTAGTGTTTGTGACTGCTATTGGCTGCTAGATTAAGAGCAGCAGAATTGTCACTTGTAATTTCTTAAGTTGTTATTTTTAGTTGCATATAATTGGTTTGACCAAAGAGACCCTCAACCCTTCCCTAAACATATATGAAGGTGGATTATCCTTTCGATTCGATGCGCTAATCTCCAATTCCAGGTTGTTAAGATCATTTTCCTTCCGATTTGGAATAACCTTTCATCCTCCCTATCTTTCAGTGGACTAGAAACTACGGTAGCATGTCGAACCTCTCGTTGCTCCTCCTTAGATTGGTTTACCGAGGTAGAGGCTCCATTATTAATTTCATTTCCCAAAGAAAATGGATTTTCGGAGCCCCGACAAATCTCCTTTCACTAAGTTGTCCAACGCATAGCTCAATTAACAACTTATTTTAATTATATGACTTTTAAAACGATTGAGAATACCGTACTTTATTATGTTAGAGATGTGAAATGTAGTGATGATTAGAAACAAAATGGAACTGCAAAATGATTGCTTAACAAAATATAATTAGTTGATCTTCTTTCTGGATCCATTTGTGC